AACGGGGTGAGAGTGACCCCCCGGGGGGATTAACGGGCTGAGCGTGACCCCCCCAGGGGGAGCTAGGGGCTGAGCATGACCCCCCCCAGGTGGGGATTAACGGGGTGAGAGTGACCCCCCGGGGGGATTAACGGGCTGAGCGTGACCCCCCCAGGGGGAGCTAGGGGCTGAGCATGACCCCCCCCAGGTGGGGATTAACGGGGTGAGAGTGACCCCCCGGGGGGATTAACGGGCTGAGCGTGACCCCCCCAGGGGGAGCTAGGGGCTGAGCATGACCCCCCCCAGGTGGGGATTAACGGGGTGAGAGTGACCCCCCGGGGGGATTAACGGGCTGAGCGTGACCCCCCCAGGGGGAGCTAGGGGCTGAGCATGACCCCCCCCAGGTGGGGATTAACGGGGTGAGAGTGACCCCCCGGGGGGATTAACGGGCTGAGCGTGACCCCCCCAGGGGGAGCTAGGGGCTGAGCATGACCCCCCCCAGGTGGGGATTAACGGGGTGAGAGTGACCCCCCGGGGGGATTAACGGGCTGAGCGTGACCCCCCCAGGGGGAGCTAGGGGCTGAGCATGACCCCCCCCAGGTGGGGATTAACGGGGTGAGAGTGACCCCCCGGGGGGATTAACGGGCTGAGCGTGACCCCCCCAGGGGGAGCTAGGGGCTGAGCATGACCCCCCCCAGGTGGGGATTAACGGGGTGAGAGTGACCCCCCGGGGGGATTAACGGGCTGAGCGTGACCCCCCCAGGGGGAGCTAGGGGCTGAGCATGACCCCCCCCAGGTGGGGATTAACGGGGTGAGAGTGACCCCCCGGGGGGATTAACGGGCTGAGCGTGACCCCCCCAGGGGGAGCTAGGGGCTGAGCATGACCCCCCCCAGGTGGGGATTAACGGGGTGAGAGTGACCCCCCGGGGGGATTAACGGGCTGAGCGTGACCCCCCCAGGGGGAGCTAGGGGCTGAGCATGACCCCCCCCAGGTGGGGATTAACGGGGTGAGAGTGACCCCCCGGGGGGATTAACGGGCTGAGCGTGACCCCCCCAGGGGGAGCTAGGGGCTGAGCATGACCCCCCCCAGGTGGGGATTAACGGGGTGAGAGTGACCCCCCGGGGGGATTAACGGGCTGAGCGTGACCCCCCCAGGGGGAGCTAGGGGCTGAGCATGACCCCCCCCAGGTGGGGATTAACGGGGTGAGAGTGACCCCCCGGGGGGATTAACGGGCTGAGCGTGACCCCCCCAGGGGGAGCTAGGGGCTGAGCATGACCCCCCCCAGGTGGGGATTAACGGGGTGAGAGTGACCCCCCGGGGGGATTAACGGGCTGAGCGTGACCCCCCCAGGGGGAGCTAGGGGCTGAGCATGACCCCCCCCAGGTGGGGATTAACGGGGTGAGAGTGACCCCCCGGGGGGATTAACGGGCTGAGCGTGACCCCCCCAGGGGGAGCTAGGGGCTGAGCATGACCCCCCCCAGGTGGGGATTAACGGGGTGAGAGTGACCCCCCGGGGGGATTAACGGGCTGAGCGTGACCCCCCCAGGGGGAGCTAGGGGCTGAGCATGACCCCCCCCAGGTGGGGATTAACGGGGTGAGAGTGACCCCCCGGGGGGATTAACGGGCTGAGCGTGACCCCCCCAGGGGGAGCTAGGGGCTGAGCATGACCCCCCCCAGGTGGGGATTAACGGGGTGAGAGTGACCCCCCGGGGGGATTAACGGGCTGAGCGTGACCCCCCCAGGGGGAGCTAGGGGCTGAGCATGACCCCCCCCAGGTGGGGATTAACGGGGTGAGAGTGACCCCCCGGGGGGATTAACGGGCTGAGCGTGACCCCCCCAGGGGGAGCTAGGGGCTGAGCATGACCCCCCCCAGGTGGGGATTAACGGGGTGAGAGTGACCCCCCGGGGGGATTAACGGGCTGAGCGTGACCCCCCCAGGGGGAGCTAGGGGCTGAGCATGACCCCCCCCAGGTGGGGATTAACGGGGTGAGAGTGACCCCCCGGGGGGATTAACGGGCTGAGCGTGACCCCCCCAGGGGGAGCTAGGGGCTGAGCATGACCCCCCCCAGGTGGGGATTAACGGGGTGAGAGTGACCCCCCGGGGGGATTAACGGGCTGAGCGTGACCCCCCCAGGGGGAGCTAGGGGCTGAGCATGACCCCCCCCAGGTGGGGATTAACGGGGTGAGAGTGACCCCCCGGGGGGATTAACGGGCTGAGCGTGACCCCCCCAGGGGGAGCTAGGGGCTGAGCATGACCCCCCCCAGGTGGGGATTAACGGGGTGAGAGTGACCCCCCGGGGGGATTAACGGGCTGAGCGTGACCCCCCCAGGGGGAGCTAGGGGCTGAGCATGACCCCCCCCAGGTGGGGATTAACGGGGTGAGAGTGACCCCCCGGGGGGATTAACGGGCTGAGCGTGACCCCCCCAGGGGGAGCTAGGGGCTGAGCATGACCCCCCCCAGGTGGGGATTAACGGGGTGAGAGTGACCCCCCGGGGGGATTAACGGGCTGAGCGTGACCCCCCCAGGGGGAGCTAGGGGCTGAGCATGACCCCCCCCAGGTGGGGATTAACGGGGTGAGAGTGACCCCCCGGGGGGATTAACGGGCTGAGCGTGACCCCCCCAGGGGGAGCTAGGGGCTGAGCATGACCCCCCCCAGGTGGGGATTAACGGGGTGAGAGTGACCCCCCGGGGGGATTAACGGGCTGAGCGTGACCCCCCCAGGGGGAGCTAGGGGCTGAGCATGACCCCCCCCAGGTGGGGATTAACGGGGTGAGAGTGACCCCCCGGGGGGATTAACGGGCTGAGCGTGACCCCCCCAGGGGGAGCTAGGGGCTGAGCATGACCCCCCCCAGGTGGGGATTAACGGGGTGAGAGTGACCCCCCGGGGGGATTAACGGGCTGAGCGTGACCCCCCCAGGGGGAGCTAGGGGCTGAGCATGACCCCCCCCAGGTGGGGATTAACGGGGTGAGAGTGACCCCCCGGGGGGATTAACGGGCTGAGCGTGACCCCCCCAGGGGGAGCTAGGGGCTGAGCATGACCCCCCCCAGGTGGGGATTAACGGGGTGAGAGTGACCCCCCGGGGGGATTAACGGGCTGAGCGTGACCCCCCCAGGGGGAGCTAGGGGCTGAGCATGACCCCCCCCAGGTGGGGATTAACGGGGTGAGAGTGACCCCCCGGGGGGATTAACGGGCTGAGCGTGACCCCCCCAGGGGGAGCTAGGGGCTGAGCATGACCCCCCCCAGGTGGGGATTAACGGGGTGAGAGTGACCCCCCGGGGGGATTAACGGGCTGAGCGTGACCCCCCCAGGGGGAGCTAGGGGCTGAGCATGACCCCCCCCAGGTGGGGATTAACGGGGTGAGAGTGACCCCCCGGGGGGATTAACGGGCTGAGCGTGACCCCCCCAGGGGGAGCTAGGGGCTGAGCATGACCCCCCCCAGGTGGGGATTAACGGGGTGAGAGTGACCCCCCGGGGGGATTAACGGGCTGAGCGTGACCCCCCCAGGGGGAGCTAGGGGCTGAGCATGACCCCCCCCAGGTGGGGATTAACGGGGTGAGAGTGACCCCCCGGGGGGATTAACGGGCTGAGCGTGACCCCCCCAGGGGGAGCTAGGGGCTGAGCATGACCCCCCCCAGGTGGGGATTAACGGGGTGAGAGTGACCCCCCGGGGGGATTAACGGGCTGAGCGTGACCCCCCCAGGGGGAGCTAGGGGCTGAGCATGACCCCCCCCAGGTGGGGATTAACGGGGTGAGAGTGACCCCCCGGGGGGATTAACGGGCTGAGCGTGACCCCCCCAGGGGGAGCTAGGGGCTGAGCATGACCCCCCCCAGGTGGGGATTAACGGGGTGAGAGTGACCCCCCGGGGGGATTAACGGGCTGAGCGTGACCCCCCCAGGGGGAGCTAGGGGCTGAGCATGACCCCCCCCAGGTGGGGATTAACGGGGTGAGAGTGACCCCCCGGGGGGATTAACGGGCTGAGCGTGACCCCCCCAGGGGGAGCTAGGGGCTGAGCATGACCCCCCCCAGGTGGGGATTAACGGGGTGAGAGTGACCCCCCGGGGGGATTAACGGGCTGAGCGTGACCCCCCCAGGGGGAGCTAGGGGCTGAGCATGACCCCCCCCAGGTGGGGATTAACGGGGTGAGAGTGACCCCCCGGGGGGATTAACGGGCTGAGCGTGACCCCCCCAGGGGGAGCTAGGGGCTGAGCATGACCCCCCCCAGGTGGGGATTAACGGGGTGAGAGTGACCCCCCGGGGGGATTAACGGGCTGAGCGTGACCCCCCCAGGGGGAGCTAGGGGCTGAGCATGACCCCCCCCAGGTGGGGATTAACGGGGTGAGAGTGACCCCCCGGGGGGATTAACGGGCTGAGGGTGACCCCCCCAGGGGGAGCTAGGGGCTGAGCATGACCCCCCCCAGGTGGGGATTAACGGGGTGAGAGTGACCCCCCCGGGGGGGGTAACAGGGCTGAGCGTGACCCCCCCCGGGGGGGCTAGGGGCTGAGCATGACCCCCCCGGGGGGGTTTAACGGGGTGAGCGTGACCCCCCCCAGGTGGGGATTAACGGGGTGAGAGTGACCCCCCCGGGGGGATTAACGGGCTGAGCGTGACCCCCCCGGGGGGGCTAGGGGCTGAGCATGACCCCCCCGGGGGGGTTTAACGGGGTGAGCGTGACCCCCCCCAGGTGGGGATTAACGGGGTGAGAGTGACCTCCCCCCTCCCCGGGCAGGGATTAACGGGGTGAGAGTGACCCCCTCCGGGCTGGGATTATGGGCTGATGGGTGGGGTGGCGCGAGGGCCCCGGTGCATGCTGGGATGAACGCCCGTGGCCCTGCGGGGGAGGGGTGGCGCGAGGGCCCCGGTGCATGCTGGGATGAACTCCCGTGGCCCTGCGGGGAGGGGTGGCGCGAGGGCCGCAGTGCAGGCTGGGGGGAACG